AAGTCAAGTTGTCTTTGAATAAAGTTTTCACCACACATCCGGTATGCAACACAAAGAGATCCTAGTCTGCAGAGATAGAGGAGTGTAGCCATGGTGCTACCAATCACAAAAGAACCTTTTAATTGTTCGGTTCCACTGAAGATTCTGAAGGATAGAAACTTCAGAATTTCAGGTACTTTGTGAATGACACTCTGCCCTGATTGTACTACAAGGAGGTGCAGATACCTTGGAACTTCTGTTGGATCATGTTCATCAACAAAACCGGAAGGCAGGCCAAAGGATCTCCACGTGTATTGGATAATTTTTTTTAATTCAGTTAGGATTGGCCCCATCTTGTCCCGACAGGTGAAAAATACTCTGTTTCCACCCAAAATGCAACAATCTCATGCCGGACATTCCCCATCAGTTGTCCAATCATCATTGCAGAATGTTCCATCAACCATTCTTCTGTTGGGAATTCACGTGCGCGTGTAAGAACTAATGAAGTACTGTTGGGACTAACAAAGTACTTGTGGAAAATCCAGGTTTATATGGATTAAAAGTGGTCTTCAGGCGTGACAAATAGATAGGATATACCGGTAGCTGGGTCAGAACCAGCTTGTCACATTTTTGAGGACCAGACTGGCTGTTTTGGCCAACATCTTCAGCACCGGCAATAAAATGGCTTGGCGTCTCTTTCATTGTTTAGATTTTCCGGGACCAAGACAATGATTTGGGCTAGATCAAGAATGATCTAGCCAATACGGGGTCAGAAATCATGGATTTTTTGCACTAAAAGTGACTTGGTATTGGTGTGGACCGATTTTCATCAAAATTCTTCGTTCCAACGCATATTTGTTGTCCATTGGTATGTATGGTGAGATTGGGGGGCTTGGAATGGGTGTTTTCTGCGTGCAGGCGATTGAATGGCACTCACATTGTTTTGGGGATCAATCCAGTTTCATTCAAGATTGTATCTGGAATCCTTCTCAGTCACCGAGTTGGTACCCACACACCATGACACTAACTTCAAAGTTGTCCAAATACCCACTAGTATTGACTTTGGGCGGAAGTTTTGGAGTGCTGTGCCGGTAAAGGGATTCTGGGCTAGCTTAATTTTTTCTCTCTTGCCTACAGTAAAAAAGTGAATTTGCCAGGAAATTTATCTAATAATGTAATCGCAACAAGGTCGTAGGGTAGGAGACCAGCCTCTTGCCCCTCGTTTCTTTCTAGTTGCCAGAAATGAGGTTATGTAGTCATGCTGGTCGAATCAAACGACACGTTTCATTTGCTCACGCCGACCATGTGTATTATTTCAAAATTATGTCACAGTGACGTTTAGTCCTTATTTGTTCCCTAGACCTTGTAACCTTGCCGGCCAAAAATAATGGAACTGTTCACAAAATTGGCACTGCTCACATTTTTGGGCCGGTAACCAAGATCAAGCGTATTGTCAATCTCCATCATGACCAAAGACTGGGAAAGATTCCTTGCATAGGAGGTAAACACCCCCCTTGCTTTTCATAAGCTTGTTGTTCCATCTATTGTTGGAAAGGGGGTCCAACTAGGACCGGGAAAGTGTACAACAAATGACATGTTTGCACCATCGGTCGAATTCAAGCACAACAAGGTGGCAATTGGGGAACATTTCTCCACAGCCACGCAGTTCCGGTCTTTGGTAATGATATAGTTTATGGGCGCACTACTGGATTACCCTGTTTCCAGCCTTTGCTTGAAAAGGCAAAGAGGTGGATCAGTCAACACACTGGCTCTATCACAACACTACACTTCCATTCCTACCTGAACGACAAGGATGGTTCTAATAGACTGAGCATCCATCAGGACCGCTCTACTGAAACCAAGGCTCTTTTCCAAAAAATGCAATGTCAGAGATTCGGTATCCCTTGGCTATGATTTCGGTATCAAATCTGGGAAGTTGGTTTTGAATGAGATTGTGGGAGATCCAGCTCAAGTCTCAATCTATAAATTCAAGATGAAAGTAAAATCGATTATGGACGAGGATCCGTCCTCGGATGTCAGCCACCTTTTTCCTTTAAAGGTGGAAACACCAAATGACCGGTCTGTGGAAGTTAAAAAGATGGAAGCAGAGGTCAAGAGACTCTGGAAGGAAGTTGGCGATCTAATTTAGGAGTATGTTCTCATTTCAGTGGAACTTCTGACAAAATGCCAGGACCCAGAAGCGTACAACAAGGCCACAATTGAAAAAGACTCCCACGGAGAGTTCCTTAGTTGTATGCATCCGCAAGGGACAGTATGCTGGATATCAGAACGGGCAACAAAAGGCCAAAAACAGTCAAGGATTGGCTGACAACAAGTGGATCTATTCATTTGTGCAGGAAGGATCTGATAAGTGGATGCAAGTATTGTCACCAAAGAAGCATGATTGCCCTGCAATGTGTTCTATTTCCAAGCGCCAAAAAATGGACTAGGATTGAAGGGTAATGAGAGTAGTTACTAATAGTATGTTGTTTGTGTGTTACAGTTGAACTACTTCTTGTTGATTTGTCGGGATTTCCTTACTGGAGCTAGAGTTCTTCTTGCTGATTTGTTGGGACTTTCTTCTTGGAGATTCGTTTGGACTTCCTTACTGGAGCTGGAATACTATGTTTCTTTTTTGGAGCTGCTGTAGCAGTAGTAGTAGTAGATTGTGGAGCTCGTTTCTTTGTAGGCTCAGGAACTGGAGTAGTAGGTGCTGGATCAGTAGTTATAAGGCCTGGACCTGGGGCTGGATCAGTAGTAGTAGTAGTAGTAGTAGTAGTAGTAGTAGTAGTAGTAGTGGTTGTAGTAGTAGTAGTAGGTGCTGAAGCTGGACCTGGACCTGGAGTTGTAGTAGGTGCTGGAGCCGGAGTAGTAGTAGGTGCTGGGGCTGGAACTAGAGAAGGAATTTGCGCACCAAAGGTCTTGTTGAGTGAGATCAAAGAATGAATTTGCTTGAACATTGTGACCCGATCCAAATTTTGAACTCCATGGCCGTTGTGATCCCCATTCAATACCCCACCAGGGTTGTTCAGAAATTTCTCAACCTCAGAAATCCATTCTCGCCGAATCCAGAACCAAAACTGTTGTCGAGTCCATGAATCTTGTATTCTTTGCTTAGAGATCTGGGCAGTGATACATTGATCATGGCCTTGCAATGGACAAAGGCATCCTTGCAAATCCGAAATTGAGGAGACATTCCCGTCGGTGGAATTTCGACCGTCACCAACCGCGGACAGCTGGCAAAGGCCCAAATCCCAACCAATTCCACCGACTGGGGCAAAATAACCGCTTGGAGCGCAAGGCAGTTACCAAAGGCAGAATGCTGAATCTCTTGGACTCGATCCTTCCGATAGTTCCACATCTACTACCAACGACGTGCATCCGAAAAAGACACTCGATTTGATGACTGTCACTGTGTTTGGAATCTTGACTTTTCTCAGCGCAATGCAATCCATAAATGCTTCCCATTCCATGTGTTTTAGAAGGCTTGACTGTTGTTGTTGTTGTTGATGTTGATGATGATGATGATGATGATGAGGGCTACCAAAGTCGACACCCTCCAAAGCTGAACATCCCTTGAAGGAATCCTGTTCAATTGTTTCGACTGTCGATGGAATCTTGACATAGTTTAACGAAATGCAATCGAGAAACAAGCTGGCCTTGATTTTCTTGAGACCTTCGGGAAGGGCGACTTGTTTCAAGTTGCTACATGAATGGAAGCAACTCTTGGGAAGTTTCTCGAGACTGGATGGAATCTTGATTTTTTCCAAGGAAGAACAATCCAGAAAGGCGGATGGACCAACCACCGCAATATAAGGATCCCAATTGATGCGATGCGGTGCTGGCATCCTATTATCAGTCTGCCCGCTGCGGTTAGATGTGATCTTGACTCAACCGACCAAATAAGTGTTCGACTCCATCGACTGGTTCCAAAATGGATCCAAAATTGCGAAATTGGTACTTCGTCTACTGGAGTTCTACGGTAACAAATGGAAAAGACCCGTCTTTCAAGCATCAGAGCAACGGTTGTACGAGCACGAATATCAAAAGCAACGGTTGTATGTGAACGAATATTGGAATCACTACAGCCTTGTATATATTTGGAACAAACGATGCTGTGCCTTCGAGCAACGGTTGTCGACGCACTGCTGCATCTTTACAGTGGACTTCTACATCCCTTTCGAAGAGCATCGCTGAATTGATCACAAATTCATTTCAAATTCATTTCTGCTTCCAATTGTCGTCGACCTGCGATATTTGGCTTTGAGACAATGACTTCTTTTTCTCCTACCTATGGTCACCTTGAAGCTAACATCAAGCAATATCTACCAGACCAGATTACATCGAACGATTACAGTAGGTGTCTTTGTCGAATGCACAATTCTGTGACTGACATCCAGAGGCGGGAGTTCAAAGCGGTCGTGCCAAAACTGAAGGCTTTTCAAGATAAAGCTGGGAAGCTCCTTCACTACACTTTTTGGCAGCTTGAGGACGAGCTCAAAAAATTGAACTCAATGGACGAGGCCTTCAGAAGTCAAAAGGAATTGCTGGAACAAAACCAGCGTGGGTTTGAGGTCAGGGCCTCCATGGTGGTCGGGCAAATTGAAGAAGTGCAAAAGGAGCTGGAGCAGCTCAAGCAAGATCTTAATATTTACAAAGAGAACATGGCTGTCAACCAGTCGAAAATTGTCCACTGTGAATGTAATCTGTCGGACAATGACAAACAGGTTTCAGCTGTCCAAGGAGTCAAGTAAGTCTGCTTCTGCCTTCTGTTGATAGTTGCGTTGCTCAATGAATGATGATATGGCACTGACTGTAATGTATTCGTTCTCCTCAGGCATTTTCGCCCAGAAAATAGCCACCTCGAAAACAGTAACCTATTTCTAACTCAGCAATATCTGATTGGCCACAAGGCTGGTGTCTTTTCCGACATCTTCAGAAGCTGGAAATGGGATCAATTACAGAAGGCTGCAAGAAAGTTACAGTCTCTCGGGTTGTCCACCAACGAGCAATTTTTGGCTATTACAAAGCATACGCCTGCCTTCGAAAGAAAATACGGCTATGTCCAAACAGTCAGCAACGTCAGAGTCAAAGGCGGAAGACTCGATGAAGCGAAAGTGAAATTCGCTGCGATGCTAGGTCTGGCGATAGAAGAGTGTCCTGTGCTTTTGAGCTACCTCAAAGGTGATAGCCCAAGTCCCGATTTCGGTCAAATTGAAGTCCAGGCTGCCGGATATCTTCAGCCGCCTTCAGGCCACAAGCAACTCCAGTCGCCTTCTACCTGGGTCGCAAATGGGATGCTTTCTACCCCTGGCAATAACGCGACTGCGCTCACGCCAGGCCGCACTGATGGCGAAAAGTCGATCCAAGATCTGGCAAAGGAGATTGAAAGTCTCACAGCAAAGAAACGTGAACTTGAACGACAGCAAGAAATCTCACCCTCAAAGACCAAGAGACGCAGAGTCTCCACCTCCTTGTACCATACGTCACCATTGGGACAACGCAACCTCTCCCCCTCCTTTCAAAACTCGGCTGGAGACAGGGATGTCACAATCACTCCGTCTCTTGCTAAGAGAAATTAAAGGCTCCCAACATGCCAATTCCTTGTAGCAATAGAAAACAATTGATAGTGGTTGCTCGATACTCTAGCCATTCCGGCATGGCCTTTTGTGCCACCAGCTCTTCCATCAATTCCTTTGTAATCGCCTCCGCATCCAGCATGGAAACGTGGGGATAAGAAGGCAATGCTACATTGCTGTTGTTGTCCACCAAGTCCAAAACTTATTGACGATACTTTGCATTTCGCTCGTCACTACCCATCAAGAGGGTAATATTCTTTCCTGTTGATTCCGTTCCATACAAGGAACATTTCAAATAGCTTTCCAAGTGCCTGGACTCGCTTTCGCAATTCGGTCCGAAAGGTATTCAGTGGAGCTATGGCTCCATTTCTTCTGGTGTTTGGGAGACATGCTGGTACCTTTGTCAACAGCGAAGGACGCATTCGATTGTGATAGGCCTGTTCGGGTCGTATAGTAGTTGCTTTATTCCTGCACCACCGAGGCCTGGCAGCCTATCGACCTTTCGTAAATCCGATTTGTGCAGAACTCGATGTACGGTATATTTCCGACAAAAAGCCTCCGTCGGGATCGTATTCGCGTTCCCAAGAATGTTGCTGCATCTGTTCGAAATTGTGGAGAAGATTGCTGGACTTGTTGGATATCAATAATGTTCTATCCGGATGCTTGATTGATTCAGTCCGAATCTATGACTTAGTTGCATACTCCTCGAAGCGAAAGGACCAAACATAAGGGACTAGCTCATTGTTAAGTGGCTTTCCCCCTCCATGACGGGCATGAGCGGCCATGTGGACCTAAAGACCGATGGCAAACCGACTGAAGCAAAGATGGAAATCCAAGAACCTCTGCAACCGAAGCACATGAAGCAACCCAACAAGGCACTAACACAGTTCAGGCACCAATACAGCCCAATAATCCTGGGAACTTCACGTTACTGCATGTGGGGACCTTTTGTGGACCCCAAAGGACCACCCAACAGAACCAGTTGAACCATCACTTGTTGCTATGTGGTGTGAATCTTCTTTCCTTCTGGGGCCCATAATCTCATGCATGCCATGCCCATGCGCCATACTGTGATCGTGTTTCCGGCGAATTTTGCAACTTGGAGGTGGACTCGGTTCAAAATGGTTATGCACGAACCGTGAAGTCATCATTATTATTGTTATACCTCTTTACATGCTTCATCGCATTGTCAAAATTGCTATCTCCTTTTCGTATTGACACGTTGGGAATCATAATCTGCACCTATTTAGCCAATGAGAGTTAGTCGATTGACTATTATTAGTTGTATGCATGAGCCAATCACAGCTCTCTATCTCACTACTGTAATGATGGATGATTCGACTAACTCTCTTCCACACTAAATTAGTACTCTCCACAGACTTCAAATGATGTTAGCGGGGCTATGGATGTTAGGTCCAAGCTCCATACGGCCCTAGCACTTTCTCTATCTTATCAAACGACTAAACACCTTGTCTTAAGGACCCAATTTAGCCCTCGATCATGAGGAAGCGCTGTAGATCCCCTAGGATCACTTCTAGCTGCCCTGAAGATGTGATCATGGTGGTAGGTTGGCAACTAAAATTGGCTGGTACTACATGAGGTAATAGATAGATCCAACGATAGAAACTGATTTTTCAATCTTGCACATAGAGTAACGGTACTATTATGTATTGTCGAGTATCGTTCAGACTTCTCTGATGGCAGATTGAAATCAGCTGCTGATATTGGTATAAATAGTTTGTAGTAGGTCTCTTCACCTTTGGAATCAAGTCATTGTCTCAAACGGGTGCAAAAAGGTTGATTGCATTGTCGTCAGAGTAGAATATACAATACCCGAATCTGAAAGCATCATCTATGACTATACTGTATCAGACTTTCCTGTCGCGGCTTTTGCCAACAATGAACCATGAAAGGTTTCTGTCTATGTTTTCGACTGTGAATCTTACTCAAAACCGGTTGATTATTGCATGTGTTCAATCGTGGAACACGTCTTTACTCCATTTGCGATGACATCGGGCTTTGTGGTGGCCCTTACTCATCTTGCTTGGTTCCCAAAATGTTGAGTCCATTGAGGACACCGCCGATTATCTATCGAATCCAAGACTGGCTGGTTCTCGCAAGCCTCGCAAAAGTAAGCGTTTCAATGGTTTCATAGCAATAGTATAAGCTGCTAGAGTCAAGCAGTATTTCATGCCTTGATTCACCTGGCTTCCAAATGGTTTGTTGTCGAGACAATAAGATTGGGCTGCCGTCTTTACACTGACATCACTTTCATGCTTCCGACCTTGAAGTATTCGAGACACCAATAATCGCGGTGCGATGAGCCTCCGAGTTTCAATTTAATCTGCGATATGCAGGGATAGTAGATATTTTTATTGGCGTGGAGGTGCTTGGACATCATTTCAATACTGCTGTAGGCGGTTCATCAGACGCATCGATTATCACATCGAACATTTATGGATTGTTACCTCGTTCTAAATCCGTCTAAATCCTGGCTAACGCCAGGATCATAGCGCATGTCATCTTGCGACGCCATGTGTGAAACCAGCACTGTGTTGTAGAGCCCCTTCATTGCAATTCTATTGCTTTCTCTTCTTCTCTTCGCTCTTCGTTTTTTCTTTCCATATTCAATATTCTTTATTTCCTCTCTTCTTCCTCTCTCCCCTTCTTTTCTCCCCGGGGGATCTAGCATAAACTGCTCCCCGCCCGCGTGTCTAGTACGTGTCGTAACAGGGTTGGGTTTTGATCTGTACGTAACGGTTTTGATCTGTACGCCAAATTTTTGATCTGTACGCCAAATTTTTGATCTGTACGTAACGGCTTTGATCTGTACGTAACGGCGCTTGGTCTGTACGCAACGGACGATTCTACCAATCAGCGTGCAGGAAAAGGGCACGTCTGACGGCATCAACGCTTCGCCTCTGTTTTTCCCTCAACGCGAAGATTGGCGTTCAACTGCAGTGTTGACGTTAGATATTTTTTTATTACAGATTGCTCAATCGCATGATGGGCAGACGAATTTTGTGAAGTGCATTTTTTTAGAATCAAAGTTCGATGATGGTTGACCTTTGCAATCTTACAGTCCTGGGTTTGTTTTAAAAAGAAGGACAGAGCTGGGGGGATCTTTGTTGCCACAGTTCGTTGTTCGCATTGCTCGAAAGAATGCGAGTTTTTCACATGGATTGTTTCTACCCCTGGCAATAATACGACTGTGCTGACGTCCAAAAGTCGATCGAAGGTCTTGTCAAGGAGATTGAAAGACTCACTCACGGCAAAGAAACGTGAACTTGAACGACAGCAAGAATTGTCACTCTCGAAGACCAAAAGACGCCAAGTCTCCACCTCCTCGGACTATGCGGCACCGTTGGGACAACGCAAACCTCTCCCCTTCTTTTCAAAGCCTGGCTGGTGATAAGGATCTCATTGTATTGGTGCTTGAATCTTTCGAAAGTGGGGAATGGGACTTACTCCTGCAGCGGTATGGCTACGGAAATTGGGAGCCGAGAGTAAGTCTCACGGGGAAACAAACAACTGGGGATTGATGAATAACAGTGGAGGAAACCTTGGAGGTGTGGTTCAAACAAGGTTCAAAGTGCCGTTCAATTCAAATTCGTTATGAAGCGATGAGAGCTCTATAAGATGTTATGGCATATTCAATAGAGTAACCATATGAGATAAAACAAAAGCTACTGCAAAGCAAAGTAGTTTGAAAATAAATAGCAGCATAAACAAATAGTCCAAAGAATCAATCAACACAGGTCTTAGCAGCCTTACAGTAAGCTAATCGCTTCCAACGTTTGGGCGTTGGACCAATCGAGTGATAGCAAAGCCAGCAAGACGATTTTCTGCTCTCTTTTCATCTGCTGCTTCCAGATTCCTTCACCCCGCAACCCTCGTATCACTTCCATATCCCTGGGTAAGCCGTCAAGAGATGGTTGCACGGACGGCAATCACTCCGTCTCTTGCTAAGATAAAACGAAGAGAAAGTAAAGGCTCCCAAAATGCCAATTCCTTGTAGCAATAGAAAACAATTGATAGTGGTTGCTCGATACTCTAGCCATTCCGGCATGGCCTTTTGTGCCACCAACTCTTCCATCAAATCCTTTGTAATCGCGTCCGCATCCAGCATGGAAACGTGGGGATAAGAAGGCAATGCTGCATTGCTTTTGCGGTTCATCAAGTCCAAAACCAGTTGACGATACTTTCCATTTCGCTCGTCACTACCCATCAAGAGGGTAATATTCTTTCCTGTTGATTCCGTTCCATGCAAAGAACATTTCAAATAGCTTTCCAATAAGTCGGGCAACGTGGTTTTGCGCACCTTCTTGGAATCTCCTCGTCGAATATGGAAAAAAAGCCAAAGATTGTGGAAGTGCCTCCTGGAGCTAGTGCCTAAACTCGCTTTCGCAATTCGGTCCGAAAGGTATTCAGTGGAGCTATGGCTCCATTTCTTCTGGTGTTTGCGAGGCATATTGACATGCTGGTACCTTTGTCAATAGCGAAGGACGCATTCGATCATGATAGCTCTGTTATTCGGGTCGTATAGTAGTTGCTTTGCTTCCGTATCATTGAGTCCTGGCAGTCTATCGACCTTTCGCAAATCCGATTTGTACAATACCCGATGTATGTATTTCTCACAAAAAGCCTCGATCGGGATCGTATTAGTGATCCGAAGAATGTCGCTGGAGTTGCTCGAAATCGCGGAGTAGATTGCTTGACTTGTTGGATGTCAATAACGACCAATCCTGAGGATATTTGGATCTGTTGTAAAGGCCCAGCAGGGCGCCCAGCTCTTGTGTGTAGTGGTGTTGTGGGTCACCGATTCGGATTGTCTCGAATGTCATATAGACTCTGTGAACCGTCTGGACGAAAGGTAAGATTGAAAAAGTCACCCCATCGAACTTCTTCCCTAATTTTTTGCCCAGATTGTGGGAGCGAGCAAAGGACGACATGGGTGCTGGCAAATCGACCGCACTGCACACAAGTAACCAGCCAGTTTCGACAACATGATGACAACGATCGATGCACGATCGCTCATTCCAGCAAAGCCAATGGAGGCTTATATTCTATTCTTTCGATTGGCACATCACCTAATATAGAGTCTCCATCTTCTGACACTTCTGCTGTGGTTGGTGTACGGGATGGAACTTGCGGTGATGATGGTGACGTGTCGGGTTGCACATGGTTCTCATAGTCTTGTTTCGATACAGCAAGCTCATCACCTCCCGTACTGTTTGTATCCTGTTGGAATTGAGTGTCCGTTCTGTTGACATTGTATTGATTCTTGACACTGAGTTCTGCTGTCGCTACAAGGGCCTTCCGAAAGCCTTGTCTCGTCAAAAGGAAGTGTTGAAGGAACAGAAGGATGACTGCCAAAAAGCTGGCCACTTTCAAGATGCCCTGCTTTCGTTTTAATAAAACTCGGACATGCGTGATTGTGCAGTTGAAGGGATGAGTCAGTCAGTCAGTCACACCATTCAATTAAAAATGCTACCGTGGTTTCAACATGCAAGTCAGAACCATGACATGTTCATGGTGGTGAGCGACTGGTTTTCCTCCAAGGCCACAACCAACTTTGCGAAACTCGCATTGGTGGAGAATTTGGCAGTCAAGTCTTTCATTATGCGAGTTGCTCGTAGTGTATCACACAACTGGTCAACATTCCCGTCGGCCCAATTGTTGAAAAACCGTGATGCATCATCACGTCTCATTCGATAGAGCAGGTTTATGAAGCATTGCCTTGTCATGCGCACGGCTTTAGCTTTTCACATCTCCAAATAACCTACATTGTCATCGTGCTCCAAGAAACGGCCACCAGAGTCTTGGACTTCCAAGACGATCAAACCTGCCATAAGCATTCTGTCGTCCCTATTTGCACCCTTTTGTACTCGTCCAATCTGTCGCTCACAAGTTGTCTCTAGTGCTGATTTCCAGCATGGCGACCACGTTTTCTACGACGGAGAACGTCGCCTTCAGTTACCGAGGCCATTGTTCCTACTTTGATAGGAACGTGTCACATTATGAGACAATAGCTGTCTTGGCGCGACTGGGTGATGATGAGATGCAGCACGCGTTTCTAGAAAATATATTCCAAAAGAAGAAAAGATTGAAAAATATTAGCAGTCTTCGTGCGGTTGTCAAGTAATCTTGAATCCGCGGTATCTCATGATGTTTGCTTCATTCTTGTACGTTGAATCGTACCTATCGTGGTACATAAGAGATGGTATCGTTTTAACCAAACCTGTCGGTCAAGAAGAAATACCAGGATTGTTCTACCTCGCACAGTACCATACTGCTTCTTACGAACCAACACTGTACTACTTTTTACAAGCATCCATCCCAAGAAGCAATATTCAATGGCCTTTTTCCCGGTGACATCCTCCCAACCCAAAATGTAGGATGGATAGGTCTCTAGCAGCACCTCGAGCAAATCGACTCGCCGCTTCCCAGCAGTCAGGAGTATATGAAAGGGTGACATGCCAAAGTCATCCACAATGTCATTCCTATCATCCTTCTTTGCTACTTGGTGGTTTTGAATGGCTTTACGCAATGTTTGCACACTCGTTGCTGATGAATGATAACACAATTTGTGGATCGGGTAATCGTCTCCAAATCGGCTGACTTCACCCATAAAAAAGGGAGCTAGATCCCTTCCATATTGCTGCTCGAGCCAAGTACATCCTTGAAATCCATTCTCGCCGAATCCAGAACCAAATCTGTTGTCGAGTCCATGAATCTTGTATTCTTCGCTTAGAGATCTGGGCAGTGATACATTGATCATGGCCTTGCAATGGACAAAGGCATCCTTGCGAATCCGAAATTGAGGAGACATTCCCGTCGGTGGAATTTCGACCGTCACCAACCGCGGACAGCTGGCAAAGGCCCAAATCCCAACCAATTCCACCGACTGGGGCAAAATAACCGCTTGGAGCGCAAGGCAGTTACCAAAGGCAGAATGCTGAATCTCTTGGACTCGATCCTTCCGATAGTTCCACATCTACTACCAACGACGTGCATCCGAAAAAGACACTCGATTTGATGACTGTCACTGTGTTTGGAATCTTGACTTTTCTCAGCGCAATGCAATCCATAAATGCTTCCCATTCCATGTGTTTTAGAAGGCTTGACTGTTGTTGTTGTTGTTGATGATGAGGGCTACCAAAGTCGACGCCCTCCAAAGCTGAACATCCCTTGAAGGAATCCTGTTCAATTGTTTCGACTGTCGATGGAATCTTGACATAGTTTAACGAAATGCAATTGAGAAACGAGCTGGCCTTGATTTTCTTGAGACCTTCGGGAAGGGAGACTTGTTTCAAGTTGCTACATGAATGGAAGCAACTCTTGGGAAGTTTCTCGAGACTGGATGGAATTTTGATTTTTTCGAAGGAAGAACAATCCAGAAAGGCGGATGGACCAACCACCAAGGATCCCAAACGGAGTTCTTCGTCTTTTGGTTGTTCAAAGGCTGCTAGCAGCTTGACTTCTTTCAAGGATCTACAGCCATGAAAGGCATGGCCTTCAATCTCTTCTACAGTCGATGGAATGTAAATTCGCGCCAAGGCCGTACACTGATAAAAGGAGCAGAATCCGATATGCTTTAGTTTTGACACAGCAGCATTGAGGTCTACTTGAACCAACTGGTTGCACCTGGCAAATGAATTCTTGCCAATGGTTTCGACCGACCAAGCAATCGAAATTCTTGGTAGCTTAATACACTCCGCAAAGGCGTAGTCTCCAATTGTTTTGAGTTGGCAAGCTGGTTTGATTGTGTTGGTCTGCAAAATCGTTATGCTGCTATTGACAATAATGGCTTCATGATCTTCTTCTTGTTCTATCATTACCACTTCGTGCAGGTCATGACACTTTTCGCACAGCCGATTGGGCAATGAGGCAGCGGTAGGACGAATAAGAAGCTTTTGTACCGCGGCAGGTGCCTTGGTGATGCGTTTGCGGGCACCATTCTTGGTAGAGGAGGAGGATGATGATGATTCTCCTGAATAGATGAATTCAACTGTGATGGATGTAAATTGATTATTATTCTCGTTGGTTGACGACTCTGAGAGAGCAGTGGAAGACTCTGAAGGTAGCGACGGCGACAATGCCATTCTGCCTCCTTCCGGAATCAAAGACATCGTAATCAGAACAGTGGAGGCACTAGATCATATAGTTGAACACTGACATTTTGATTTGGATATTATTCCATTGTCGGATATATAGATATATTATGAGGCAAAGAATAACCCGGATTCTATTTTATATGGGTTGCCTACAGGAACATCCTACTGGTACACGTACATACGTGCGTGTCACGTAAAATAACCTGTATGAAGGACAGACACTTCCAAGGATATTGTGTGATGAGTGATGACAAAATAAAAATCTCCAAAATGAAAAATAACAAGGAGAGAGATGACAATGACGGTGAAGCTCTTGCGCCCGCCATAGACTCAAAAGCACCTCCAACATGCCAGGACTGCAAATCACCCAAATAATCATCTGATTGAGGATTGTTTCGTTGAGCAGCTTCAGTTAGCCAATTTCAGTCGTGGCTGAAATGATTTCGTGTTAGTTCCACGATGGTGATGATGAAGATGCTTGGAGCGTTGCAGACGATGCCCAAACTATTCAGAACCCGTTTCGACTTTTCGGCAATCATCGTGGAAGTCTGACTTTCATTTCACTAGTCTCACTTTTACTTGGCTTGCCGACAGTCACAAGACAGAACAAACATGATTTGCCTACTCACTACCACCAACAACAACATCAACACCATCACGCAACTAGCGTTGACTCTTCTTGTCGTGCTAGTCGCCTTTACACCTGCCATTATCGAACAGCTCGTTAATCGAGCCCAGATTGTGATTGCGCCAGTCCGCAATGTCATCAACAACGGAATCGCTGCACTTCTTACAAACACCACCGTTGCTACCGTTGCAGCCATCATCGATGCTGTCCAAACTATCGCCAACAGAGTTCTTGAACCCGACAGCGATGCTGCTGCTTTCAAGAACAACAAGAACATCAAGAACATCAAAATCTTGGCTCTTCCACTCAGCGAAACTTACCTACAGCTCATCCTCAGAGCTCGTCCACGACACTGGGTCTTCAGATCTCCACAGGAGATCATTTTCTGGACCCCACGACACTTGATCCCAACCTCCACTATCCGTGCCACCATTATTACAGCCCTTTCCACCATCGATGCTCTCGAAAAAGTCGCCAACAGAGCCTTGGAATCTTACAGCAACAACAACCACAAGAACATTAAGATCCTAGCTCTTCCAATCAGCGAAACTTTCCTCCAGCTCATCCCCAGAGCTCCACGACACTTGATCCTCAGAGCTTCACGCGAGATTATTGTCTGGACACCACGATACTTGATCCGAACCTCTTTCTGTGCCACCGTTATCGCAGCCTTTCTACGGACCATTATCGATGCTATCCAAACGATCAACAAGAGAGGTTTGGAATCTGACATCAGTGCTGTTCTCAACAAGAAGAAGAGCGAATTTCTTGCTCTTCCCATCAGCGAGACTTTCCTCCAGCTGGTCCCTAGAGCTCCACGTCACATGGTCCTCAGAGCTTCACGCGAGATCATTGTATGGACTCCACGAAACTTGATCCGAACTTCTGACCCTTCCATGGTCCTCCCACGCATTATCGAGCTCGCTCAAGAGTTTGTCAACACGAGCACCATTGGAACGGTTATGTCATGCGCATTGGCTTCTTTGCCAACACCTGTTCCACAGTGCTGGACTCAACGCTTCAGCCTTGGCGCAGTCATGCAATTGTCGCCACCAACCTCCTTTACTACTTTCTTTGGGGGGAAAGAGCCCGAATATTATGTGAGCTCATTGGTCAGTATCATCGTTGACCACCACCACCACCACCATCACCAAGAAGACAAGCAGGAAGAAGCAACAGCGACTCCCATTGCCACCACTGAATCGACTGATAGTTCCATTATTGTTCTTTCCTCGTCGGATATGTTGGCCAACATTGCAATTGCAGCCGATAAGGAAAAGAACAACTTGGACGATGATGAAGATGAAGTGGAACACGTGGATGCAGCTGCTGCTGCTGTACTTTCTGCATTGTCTTCTTTTGCTGAAGAGGATAAAGTTGAATCTTCCCCTTCACTCTTCTACAAGAAAGAGGAATCTGAATCGTTTGCAGACTTGAAAGGCAAGCGAAAGGTCGTTCCATTTTGGATGTCCAAGCATAGCATTGCGCGAGCTGCTGGCAAGAAAGTCAAGGGACGTCGTGGACAATTCAAGCAATACCTTCGAGCACAAAAGAAGGCCGACCGTATCAAGATGGAGCAACAGCGTCGAGATGCTGTGAAACAACAAGAACGAATGGATGGCGGACATGAGGATATGGAAATCGACCATGAGGAAGACGAAGTGAAAATGGAAATCGATTATGAGGAATCTACTACCGATGCCTGCTGCAGCTTCACTGCTTCGAATTTCACGAGACGTCGTGGACAATTCAAAGAACGCGTAGTAGCACAAAACAAGGCTGGTCGTCGCAAGATTGAGCAACAACGTCGAGATGCGAAAAAACAAGAACTCTTGCGACAAAAGAGAGGAATGAACGAAATGAAAATCGAGTATGAGAATGATGTCTTTGACTCTTCTCATCTCGCCTCCTTTTCTGAATGGTACAGAGCTGAATTTGGATGTGAGCCAACAAGCTCATTGGACATCTTTGATGATCCATCCTTCGGACATGCATAAACTGGACATGCATAAACTGAAAATGAATGGGCCATGGATGGCTCAGTATGCAAGAACATGGAAGAACTTTCCACAAGCAAGACAGCCGACTTTGGTCGAGACTGCAACAAGAAAATCTATACGAAAACATGGAATAACGTTCCACAAGCAAGACTGCCGACTTTGTTCGAGACTGCAACAAGAATGAATGCAAAACAAATGATATGCATCAATACACTACTTTCAAGTAGAACGCAACCAAATTAGACAAACAAACCAAATGCAATGTAAATAGACGCAAATAGAACGTCGTGTATCCCCTTGGAAGCTTTTAGATCATTCGCCTTGAACTAGTCCCCACAGGTATCCTCCTTTTACTCTGACCAGTTGGAGACGCAAAGCAATCTTATCTAACTTGTTTGAAAACCTTGCTCCAGCATCTTAGCTTAGTCAAAAATGAATGACAACGATAGACTTCGCATGAATTGAATAACACATGCACAAGTATATACAAGAATAGGTTTCAACAACAGCAAAAGGATGGATGTATAAAATAGTTTGATACAACAATTTATTCTAATGTGTTTGTGCTGTTTGACTCTCAAAAAATTATTTAGAAGACAGTAAAGTCCTTTCCAGCAATCAAAGCACCCAGCCGCGAAAGGCTTGACGATTCCAGTCAAGAGTGAAACGGGTCCAGGGATGGTTTGCTCGGTCAAGAATCCAAATAGTCCCAACATGGTCAGACGACCGTTGTTGATTTCCTTTACTAAACCAGCGGCTAATCTCCAAAGTGATGGCAATGGACTACAAAAGCACCTTCAATATGGACAGGAATCCACGAGGCACTCGTCACTCAGGCGACTTATCTGGCCAGGGGAGGACTCAACGCAGTGTTCAAGATGACCGATATAGATGGTTCCACACGCATATTGTCAAGATTCTGAGGTACAATAAAAGCAAGACTTTTTACACGGAAAGCAATTTTGACCGCGTCCGCCGGGATTCTCCCGTCATGGAACGTGGCATAAGTTCATCGAGTTTGGAAAAGATGGGGGTCTTGATTCTTGGATGGAAGATAGATATGATGATTTGTCACAAGATCAAAAGCTGCAAGTAGCTACTCAGATATCTCAATCCTTGATTCAAAAAGTGAACATTTCTGGCGGTGTCTTGTGCAGTTGAAAGATTGTATTTACAACTACAACAAAGATGATTGGGCAGCACTTGTTGGGGCCGTGACCAATGGTTTGCTTGGAGAAAAGTTGTCAGTGGACGAGCTCACCGACATGCGCTTTTCCAAGGTCTTCAAACAACGTTATGACAAGTGGTTAAGAAAGGAGTTCCATTTGGCAGAAAATATCATTGAAAATTTAAATGACTGGCTGAAAGCATGGATAGATGTCAGTGACGATAGCGATCGAAAGGTCTTCACATACAAGACAGAGGACACAACAAGAGAACAGTTTTCAAAGGTTCCATATGGATCATGAAGGTGCAGCCATATACCGTGGAGTGAAATCAAGTGCCAAGCATGGGCTGACCGAATGGAGAAGCTCAAGAGCTGAGTCAAGCTTGGAGAAGTTTCATGAACTATTGGCCCATTTTGCAAATATTGGTTGCAAATCGGAGTTTGCGAATGCTCTCATTGCCCGAGGTACGGCTGAGCACAACGTCGGTGCGAGGTGGAGATATGACTGCATGGTGCAACGCCAACAAGGTTCTAGATTACCGCATCCAGAATACGTGGACCGAACGCCCATTTTCATGGACCATTCCCTACTAGACCATTTGAACCAACAATCTACATCGCTTGGTTTTGGTGCCTTGTTCAAAGAGTGTCGAGTTCCAGAGGTTGGAAACGAGAAGGAAGTTTTCTTTTCCGATTACTGCACCGACCAAATGGAAAGAAACAAACAAGAGGGAACTGTTGCTTCAACTAAGGTTTGTCTTTGCGACGACTGCAAGGACAAGTACGAATCGCCTCAAACAACAAGTGTCGCCAGGAGGAGGAGTGGTATTGCCAGAGCGGTCGATCGATCAGCTGCAGCAGCACAGCCTTTATCTCAGCAGCATATGCAGCAAAAAGCAGCAGATCACAGCACACTGTTGCAATGGCTTCCAAACAATCCAAATTTCAATCCTGTGCATGCTTCAACGACCAGTGGTTTTTTGACTCCGAATCAAGCCTTTTTCACGAATCAATCCGCACCACATAGCCGGACTGTTTGCAAGTCCAGATGCTTTCCGAATTACCCTTTCAATTGCACAAGATTTGCAGGATACCTTGAGCGGTCCAAGTCCGGTTCAGTGGTCGGGAGACCACCTCTCGATCTATGGTGCCCAAAGGTGCAGGGTTACTACCGGTACAAGTATGGGGAGAATTAAAATGCTAGATGCAGTACCAAAAT